GCCTCTTCCCAGTCCCCCACAGCTGCTCACATTTGTCTGTCTTATAGGCTAGGCTGAGCTGAATAAAAGATGGGGGACACAGGAGGAACCTGTAAGCTTAATATAGTAACCTGACTGTGATGTAATCAGTGTATTTTAATTTATCATTTCCCTTCATTCTTTGTGGTTTCTCTTGTATCTTCAGGCCCTTGCAGCTTCACTTACTTAAAATTTGTATTCCAGGGGTATCCGGTTTTTGCAGATCTTACGAATGCTGCATGTCGACCGTCAGGGTGGCACATGGAGACTGTTGGGATCGGTAGTTTTCATACACAGACAAGTAAGTCACATCTGGCATAGGGACAATGCCTGGGAACAGAATAAGAAAACAATTTTTCCTGCTATAACCATTTTCAGGTCTTCTGTGTCACACCAGTGTACTTGGATTCGGTCATAATACTGCTACAACACAGACAGCTATTATTCTTTACATTACATACTGCAGAGGTCTGTGGTTTCCCAGGACTATTTAATATTAAGTTAAATTGACAGAAAGTTTTAGCTTCTAACTGGTGTAAAACTCAAGTTCCCTTGTAATATGGCTGTAAAGAGAGAAACCTCAGAGGTTTGATTCCTCAGGAACTGGTCCAGATCCCTTTCTCTTGTGATTCCTTTCTATCTCCAATACTGTATCATCTATGTGCCCAACTGCTTTGCCCGAGGAAATAGATTATAATTCATAGATAGTTACTGGGACAAGGTTTTCTCCTGTCTTGTAAACAGTATGATATAAAAGCATGGAATGTAGGCAGATGTCGTCTTCTTGTTAAATATATGAACTTAGGGACATGGGTGATTGTTTCAATTTATGCAAGTACTGTTGCTTTTCTGTGTTTAAAGGACAACAGGTTACTTCCCTAAGTGTAAAATTTTCATTCAAGTCCCATTTTCACAAGTGACTTAGATACTTAGTCTAAGTTTCATTCAATTTCATTGACTGGCAGTGAGACTTAAGATTCTAAGAGCTCAGATCTCTCTCAAAATTTTGACCAAACAGTTAATTTTCAATTGCAACCGCAGTACAAGCAGCACTCACCAGATTATTTGCAAAAGTCATGAACCGTTGTTTGAAATCCAATATATGCAATTGAAGCACAAGTACATTTCTGTACAACACTGGGTAGGCTGAGTTTTGCTGAGCTCAACTGATTTGCTCTAAGGATCAGTCTAGCGATTAATTTACTAGTCGAGTAGTCGATGGGATAATTTACTAGTCGAGTAGCAGACCATTGATAAGCACTTCTGCGTTCCGCCTTTGAAATGTACAAGAGTCCTAGTGGGGGCTCTTGTGCATTATGAAGTTGGAACGCCGTGTGGAGCCCAGGGCCAGTGGGAAGTCCCGCTGACTTCGGGTTCCATGTGGGTGCTGCCACTTTGAAATGCCGCATGGAGCCCGGGGTCAGCTGACCCCAGGCTCCATGGCACTGCCGCTTTTTAAGTCCACCCCTACCGGTCCCCCTTTGCTGCCTCTATCTGATAAGGTGGGAGGAAGCGACTAGTTGATTAGTCCTTTACATCCCTAATTTGCACCAGATGAAAGTGTGATGACCTGTTTAAATAAACTGCTGAAATTAACTTTATTTCATTTCCACGAGGAGTAACGGTAGTTCGGAATGGGAAGCCTAATCCGAACTACCTACTCCGTGCCGCGTGTAGCCGCGGGCACGGAGTCTGAACTAGCGGACATTTAAAAATGGTGGTGCCTGGCAATATGCAAATGAAGCCCGGGAAATTCAAATTCCGGGCTTCATTTGCAACTTCGGTTGCCTACATTAACCACCCTAGTTCAAACTAGGGTGGTAGTGTAGACATACCTTCAGTCTCTAGATGCCACCGGACTCTTCGTTGCTTCTGCAGATACAGACTTAACACAGATAACCCTCTGAGACTTGCTTATTAATTACAGGTTGAACCTCTCCAGTCTGGAGCTTTTGAGACTGGTTCCGAACGAGATAATTTTCTGGACCATAGGAGGTCAATATTGTCCAGCAGCATTACCAACAATTCCACTGCTTATGGGGCTGTTAGAGGACATTTAGGGTATGTCTAGACTACATCCCTTTGTTGCCAGAGGGATGTAAATTAGACATACCAAAATTGCTAATGAAGCGGGGATTTAAATATCCCACACTTCATTAGAATAAAAATGGCCGCTGCTTTTTGCCGATGTGGCACTTTGCCGGCAAAAAGCAGCAGTCTAGACGGGGATCGGTCGACAAGGAAAGCCTTTTCTGACCAATCCTGTAAACCTTGTTGCACGAGGCATAAGGAATCTGTCGGAAAAGGCTTTCCTTGTTGACTGATCCCCATTTAGACTGCCGTTTTTTGCTGGCAAAGTGGCAAAAGCGAGACCATTTTTAGTCCAGTGAAGTGTGGGATATTTAAATCCCCGCCTCATTAGCAATTTCGGTATCTCTAATTTACATCCCTCTGACAACAAAGGGATGTAGTCTAGACATACCCTTAGGGGTAAATTAGAGCTAAATACAGCACAAAATACTGAGAGCCAGGACTGGTGGCTATAAACAAACTTTATGGGACCACAGGAAACTTGGCCACATCCATGAAAAGTGCACATCCAGCTAACTAAAATCATTCTGGACAACAGATGTTTCTGGACGAGAGAGTTCTGGATTAGAGAGGTTTAACCTGTATTTTTATTATTTTGCACAAAAACTCCAGTTTCACACAGTTTAAAGCTCTCTAATGATATTTTTATTTGTTTTTATTCTGCTTTCAGGAATTGATAACTACCTTGTACATTGGGTTTCTGGGCCTTATTTTTTCATCTTATTTTGTGTATCTGGCTGAAAAAGATGCTGTGAATGACTCAGGACAAACAGAGTTTGGAAGCTATGCAGATGCCCTGTGGTGGGGAGTGGTAAGTACGATACACTTTGTGATATAAAATGACAGCTAACATACATTATTGTTTACAAACATAAGTTTCTGCATGGGGAGTACAGCAGAAGTGAAATTAAAATTGCTTCATTGTTACAGTATCTTCTGTTGTTTTCTTGTTATCATGTGAGGATAAACAGAAACAGATAAACAGAAACAGTAGATTGTGGACATTTATTTTATTAATAAAGGAGGTGACCCCTTTACAATGGTTTGGAACATTCAAGCCAAGCACATAACTAAGCTATGTTTAAGTTCTTGTTACTTTACTCTTGTCATCCTTTCTGGTACCCTCCAATTATTTGCTACATTAATGTGTTGTAACTTCTAGTTCTTGTTAGTTGCAGAGCATTCTAGCTCTGATTATGCCAGTGGTGGGCAACCTGTGGGCCACAGACTCCCAGTCTGCCCCCCCACATGCACCTCTCATTCACTGGGGCACTAGACCCTGCTAATTTGTGGTGTTCCAGCTCTGAGAGGGAGGGGGGAAGAGCCGGGACACAGGCGAATCAGCGGATTCATGGTGCTCTGAAAGTGCTGGGAGGGAAGGAGGTGAAGTAGTAGGAAGTGAAGAGCTCTGGTGTCCCAGTGTGTGAGAGGCGCATAGGGGAGAGGGGCAGACAGGGGGTCTGCAGGTGGAGCCCCAGGGTGCATCTACCCAGCAGGGCTTAACTCAAAATAAGCTACGCATACTGAGCTACCTCAATTGCGTATTTTATTTTGAAATAGCTTATTTCGAAATAGGGAGTGTCTGCTTGGCACTTATTTTGAAATAGAATGCGCTTCCTCTGACTTGCCTTACTCCTCCTATAATGAGGGTTACAGGAGTTGGAGTAAGAAGTCCTCCAGCTTGACAGTATTTCTACACTATTTTGAAATATCTGCCGGCTGTGTAGACGTGGACTAAGTTATTTCAGAATAGCGCTCATTATTTCGAAATAGGGTTGCAGTGTAGACGTACCCCCAATGGGCTGTGGGCTGCTGAGGCCCACTGAGATGGAGGGCCATTCATAAAGGCCACTTACTAGTCTTTGTTGCTCATCACTGACCTATGCCCTACCTTAGCTTTAAGCCTGTGGGTAACCCTATTGAAGCCAGTAAGGCTACTCCCATGCTGAAAATTATGCAATGTATATTGGACACAGAGTGCTCAGCAACCTCTTAGGATCAAGCCCAGGCAATATAAGTACTTTGGAGCAGGGAACTTTGTGCAGGGAACTTTGGAGCAGGGAACTCTTCCTTTGTTCATATAGTGTCTAGCACAATGATACCCCAATTTTGACCATCTAGTATCCTCTTGCACTTTTAACATGTGGTATTTATAAGGTGCCTCTTGTAGTAATGGCTAGGCACCCTTATGTAACAATACTATCTAGTTGCTGCACAATTGGTATGAACGTTTTAGAACACCCATAAATGCATGTTCTGCTGCTCTTGTGTTCCAAAACGTCATTCATTAGGCTGTGAATGATGGAAACTTTGTTCTTTTTGGCTGCCTTCATAGTATGATTGGCGAACTGATTCCTTGGCATCTCTCAGCTAAGGCAAGAGTCAAAACTTAGGCCTACTGACTCCACATTTGTCCATTCCCTTGTTCTAATAAACACACCAATTTTGTTGCATCTACTAATGATCTCTCTCTCTCTCTCTTGTCCTTTCACATGCACTTATTAAATTGTTTGTCAGCCATGTTCTGAGAGTTCTGTTTTGTACTTCCACTTTCCTCCTCTGAATTATAGTAGTGTAGTAGTAGACTGTCACAGCCATGTTCTGAGAGTTCTGTTTTGTACTTCCACTTTCCTTCTCTGAATTATAGCAGTGTAGTTAGTAGACTGTCACAATTGTTGCACTGTGTGTCAAAAAGTACTGTTTTACCTTATGGTACTTATCAAAAGGCTATAAATGTGAGAGATGGAAATAACCCTTTAGATCATCCATGCCATCTCTCAATATATGCATTTTTATAATATGCTTTATTTTTGGAGTCGTTTTTTTCCCCAGGCTTTAAATAACATAGCAGACTTTGGTTTTTAATAATAGTGTGACTAAAAATAATAGGTCACAGGAAGAAAAAATGGAGCACTATATTCGTCTGACCTGCAGTCTGGACTAGGAAGATTGTGCTTTCTTGAGATACATTTTTGGATTTTTATTTATTTATTTATTTGTTTATTTGTATTTATTTATTTATTTATCTATCATGTTTTTGTCTTCTCAATTTCTACACATGGTACCACTTGCTTTTTTAACTCTAAAACATCTATTGATGAGCATATCAACTGCAGGAAGTGTATAAGTATCCCTCATGAATACACCAATTAATTAGGCTGTTACAGCAAACACAGCTCTTTCTCTTTCTGTCCACCAAGACTAATATAGCCACTTCTCAGATCAGGAAACTTGGCATTCAGCACAAGGAAGCTGCTATTTAGCACGTACATTTTTCAGGGCTTTTTTGATGACACAGCATGCTTTTCTCCTCCTTCAGTGCAAGATTCATGTGACACTTAAATTAACAGTGTCAGATGCAGCCACATCTCAGTACACTGATCTTGATCTTAGAAATGAAAGTTGTACCTCTGCCAGGCATGACTGGTTCATTAAAATTAGAGTAAAGCTTTTCTTACCTGGAAGGAGAACAATGCAGTCAGGCCTTGCTTTAGGGAACAAGATGATCAGATGTGGGAGTAATACGTACCACTTCTCCCCAGCCCCTGATTATGACAAAGTTATGTATTTGGTCCACTTTATAACAGGGAGAGTCTTGTGCTGAAGTCTCCATTGTAATGCAGGACGTTACTAGAGATAGGGTTCTAGAATATATGAATTCCCTAGTCCAAGGATTTTGATTTAAAATATGTTTTAATACCAAATTTAGTCGCTAGGTGGAGAATGGTATAATAATCTGAGGCCACATCTATACTATGCAGAAGATTGAAGCTGCTGCTGTCGATCTTCTAGGGGAGGTCTATTTTAGTGGGTATAGTGAGGACCCTCTGATCAAACTCAGAAGGTGTCCCTGTTGGTGCTGGTACTTCTGCTCCTCACCTGGAGTAAGGGAAGTCGACGGGAGCGTTTGCTCCTGTTGGCCTCCCGCTGTGTGGATGGTCCGGAAACTCAGTTTGTTGACTCCAACTATGTAATTAATGTTGCTGGAATTGCGTATCTTAATTCGACATTCCACTGCAGTGTAGACCAGGCTTAAACTAGCTATGCTAGAAATAAGGAGAATAGTCAAGAGGTCTTAATCAGAGAAGAACAGCTGCCATTGCCTGGACAACCATATGTGAAAAATATATCACAGGCCACTGCTGCGACCTAGGATTGAGCCACTAGGATCAACTGGCTGCTAGCCAGTAGGGCAATGCAAAGCATAGGCATTGTCCTCGATACTTTCCTTTTTTCCACTTCCACTACTAGTCTGATGTATACACTTGCTTCCATGTAGTCAACGTTGAATTGCCATCTTTCATCCTGGTCCCTGTCTCATTGAGGCAAGGGGCTGGGAAAAGAATATAATTATAAAAGCTGGGAACAATGAGGAGGAGACACAGAGGAAATGAGTCACGTTACCATACTGATGGCTACAGCCAAGTGGATGGATGATCCAATGGAGAAGAATCATGGTCAAATGGAAAACTGGTCCCAGGCAATAGCCTAGGACTTGGGAGACCTGGACTCAAGTCTCTGCTGTGCCACAGACTTCCTGTGTGATCTTAGGCAAGTCACTTAGCCTCTCTTTGTCGTGGTGGCCAACCTTTAAAATGGGTTTACTAGACATAGCAAAATTTATTAGTTAAGGGGGGAGGGATAGCTCAGTGGTTTGAGCATTGGCCTGCTAAACCCAGGGCTGTGAGTTCAATCCTTGCAGAGACCATTTAGGAATTTGGGGCAAATATTTGTCAGGGATGGTGCTTGGTCCTGCTATGAAGGCAGGGGACTGGACTCAATGACCTTTCAAGGTTCCTTCCAGTTCTAGGAGATAGGCAATCTCCATTAATTTAAAGACTCTTTGTGGCGAGTGTTGGATAAAGGGTCCTATAGAATTATCCCAGCCAGCTTTTTCCCTTTTGAAAAATAAGGAAAGAATACACAATTTGCTAAATTAGTATAAATACTTTTCATTGCATCATCTCCTGCAAAACCTTCCTCTTCATAATTTCCTTAATTTGAATTCACATGGCACTTCATACTGTACAGGTGTGTCTAGACTACATGGCTCCGTCGAGGGAGCCATGTAGATGAGTTTACTAGACATAGCAAAATGAACAAGAAGCAATGGGCTTAAACTGCAGCAAGGGAGGTTTAGGTTGGACATTAGGAAAAAGTTCCTAACTGTCATGGTAGTCAAACACTGGAATAAATTGCTCAGGAAGGCTATGGAATCTCCATCTCTAGAGAAATTTAAGAGTAAGTTAGATAAATGTCTGTCAGGGATGGTCTAGACCATATTTGGTCCTTCCATGAGGGCAGGGGACTGGACTCGATGACCTCTCGAAGTCCCTTCCAGTCCTATTATTCTATGATTCTATTATTTAGATTTGCCCCTCCTCCTATATTTCTCTCTTTGTTTTATATCACTGTATTTGTATTTTATCTCTAGATAATAAATACTTGGTAATAAATAAGTAGCAACACTTTTCTGATAGAATGTATGTTAATTGCCAGAACTGATGAAGCAAAAATTTTATACAATGCTGCCAGACTCAACTTCAGGCTGCTCTAGGGAGGTCACAGACTAACAGGTAGGGTGTGTCTAAACTACATGGCTCCGTCGACGGAGCCATGTAGATGAGTTTACTAGACATAGCAAAATAAAGCAGCGATTTAAATAATCCCCGCTTCATTTATATCAAAATGGCCATCGCGCTGTGCTGACGATCAGCTGATCTGGCATAGCGGGCAGTCTGGAAGCTCCGCGGTCGACAAGGGAAGCCTTTGTCGACCGCTCTGGTATGCCTTGTGCTTATTTATTTGAAA